CTGCTCCTGCCGCCCAGCACAGGCCCTCACCTCCCTACTGTCTGTGTCCAAGGGAGCAGTTGGCCAACCCCAACGCCTCTTCATTTATGAAAGCGTCCCTGTGGCCAAGGCCCTTAGATCTCACTTTTTTTTAATTCTTTATCGTTAGAAGTATTACATGTTTCCCTTTCCCTCCCTTGACCTCTCCCCACCTGCTCCTGCCACCCAGCACAGGCCCTCACCTCCCTACCGTCTGTGTCCACGGGAGCAGCTGTCCTTGACGTGGCATGGCCAACCCCAACGCCTCCTCACTTATGAAAGCGTCCCTGTGGCCGAGACCCTTAGATCTCACCCCCCTCCCCAGGTCGTAGTGACACGGCGCACCACGCCATACTCACTGGCTATGTATCGCATGTTCTTGATGCGGGGTCTGACCAAGAAGCACAATCTATGGGAGAGAAAGGGGAGAAACTCAGCGAAGGGAAGTCATGAGGTTGGTGACAGACAGCACCACCTGAAGAAACTGAAACAACACCCCACTCTTTCACCATCTGCTCCTCTCGGCCGGCCGACCGTTCCCAGCCTCGCCAATGCCGGGCCTGCCCTGACCACGGACTCCCCTCCCGACAGCAGGGACACTGTGCTCAGCAAATGGACCCTCTGGGGTACCCGGAGTTCCTGTTCTCAAATAATTTACAATCTGTCAGGCGAAATCATATGCACACATGCATAAAGTATCAGACACGTGTTTAAAAACAATACAGAAAGTTGTCTGGACAGCATGGCTCAGTGGTTGAGCATCGAACTAGGAACCTGGAGGTCCCAGTTCGATTGCTGGTCAGGGCACTTGCCTGGGGTGCAGGCTCAATCCTCAGTGTGGGATGGGCAGGACGTAGCCCATCAATGATTCTCTCTTATCAATGATGTTTCTCTCTCTCTCTCCTTCTCCCTTATTCTCTGAAATCAATAAAAATATATTTTTTTAAATACAAGAAGGTATATAAAATGTTTTTCCAACTTGGATGTATTCTCCATGTACCCAGGAGAATTTTTCCTCTAAGGGAGGGTGTATATTACTTAAGATTGAAAAGTATTAAAAAGAAAAACAGCGCTGGCTGGTATTGCTCAGTGGTTAGAGTGTCAGCCCAGGCACCAAAGTGTCTCGGGTTCAATTCCCAGTCAAGGGCATGTACCCAGGTTGCCAGTTCGATCCCAGGCCCCTTCCACTCTCTCTGAAGAAGCAATGGAAAAAATATCCTCTGGTGAGGATTTAACTAAAAGAGAAAAGAAAAAAGAAGAACAAAAAGCAGACAACAGGCAGTGTGTGACAGATACTAAACACCCTGGAGATCCAGAGGGGGAAGGTTTCATGGAGGAGGTGGCACTGGGGTCTGAGGGTATGTCTTGCAGGAGCAGTGAGGACAGGAGGGAATTTCAAGACAGAGCTAATGGAGTGGCCAGAAGGGGGATGCCACATGCATGTAGCTGGGAAGCATGTGTCCAGCGGAGGCTTGAGGGCCCCGTGAGAGACCAGGCTGCCCTGTGAGAGACTAGTGTGAGGCCCAACTGTGGATTCCCTTGGCTTCCACCATGAGCAATCTGCACTTAACTCGGTAAGAGAAGACTCGATGGTTCTTGAGAAGAGCACGGTGAAAAATATATATTTTTAAAATATATTTTTATTGATTTCAGAGAGGAAGAGAGTGGGAGAGAGAGAGAGAAACATCCATCAGCTGCCTCCTGCCTCCTGCACGCCCTCTACTGGGGATCGAGCCCAAAACCCAGGCATGTGCCCTGACTGGAATCGAACCGTGACCTCCTGGTTCATAGGTCGAAGCTCAAACACTGAGCCAACCCAGCCAGGCAATGAAAATATTTTTGAAAGCTTCATCAAGAAGACTGGATGAGAGAGAAGAGGACAAGGGAGGGAGAAACTGGAGAAAGGAAGACAGAACAAGGGGCTAAAGCATAACCTCTCATGCAACTGTCCAAGGGCAGGGAGGGGAACCGTATCACAAGCATCTCGCGGCCAGATCCCAGCCACGGACGCATCAGGGGCAAAGTGCAGGGACGCCCCCCGGCTTGGAGGCGAGCCGGAAGCCCCAGACACTCACTGTTCACTGGAGCTCAGGACTGGCTTGTTCTCCACCTTGTACAGCTTGTCTACTTCGTGTTGCTGCCGAGAGAAGCCAACAAGACAGGGGACACAGCGTGCTTGGACACCCGCAGCATGACCCAAAAGCAGGGACTGGGGCTCCTAGTCATGCTAACTCTGGGCATCAAACTGCCTCCCTGACAACCAGTCACTGAGCCTTCCCCAAAATGTCAACAGAAAAACCAAAAATAAAACAATTCAAAAACAATAGATAATACCATCCATTCCAGCTACCCTCTATTTACCCTACAACGGTAGTCGCTCTTTAATAATTTGTACTGTTCATCAAAAGAAAAACTGGCCAAATTGGCGTGGCTCGGTGGTTGAACATCGACCTAGGAACCAGGAGGTCAGGGTTCGATTTCTGGTCCGGACACATGCCCGGGTTGTGGGCTCGATCCCCAGAGGGGGACTTGGGGAAGGCAGCCGATCGATGATTCTCTCTCATCACTGATGTTTCTCTCTCTCCCTCCCTCTCCTTCCTCTCTGAAATCAATAAAAAATATATTTAGAAAAAGAAAGAAAAACTGCTTAATGAGGAAAGAATCTGCCTGGAGGAAAGGGCAGGTACCTTTAGGATGGAGACGCTGGCGATTCGATCCAAAGGGCTCATGAGATCGGCCTCAATGAACAAGTCCTTTTTTCCTGGAAGCTGAAGACACAGAGTAAGTAGCATCCTGGGTCACTCCGAGGTCACACACGCTCCCGCGGTGACAGCTCACGCGGCCACCTGTCTACCAGAACCCCAGTCTCGGAGCTGGAAGGGCGCCAAACATCATCTACCCCGGCGCCTGACTTACTGTTGACATCCTATCAATAGCTGACATTTCTCTATTTACGCACCTATTTCGTCTTCTCATTTTCTGCACCGGCAGAAAAATATTTCACCTTCTTTCTAAGGTTAACTCCTTGTCACGCAGCCCTCCTGCTGGCCTGGGACCTTGTCCTGGATCACTGCCCGCTTCTCCACCGCCTCCTCCACTCAACCTCCCCATGACCCCCGTCTCCTGCTGGACGAAGCCAAGCAAAACCAACCCCCACCCACACCCCGCAACCCCTTACACTGCCAGATCTCGCTCTTTTTTTTAATCCTCACCCGAGGATATTTTTCCATTGATTTTAGAGAGAGTGGAAGAGAGAGGGAAAGACAGAGAGAAACATTGATGTGAGAGAAACACATTGATTGGTTGCAGGCTGCAGGCCCTGACTGAAATCGAACCGTGACCTCCTGGTTCATAGGTCGACGCTCAACCACTGAGCCACACCAGCCGGGCAATGAAAGTATTTTTGATTACGTGCCCTTGATGGGAACTGAACTTGGGACCCTTCGGTCTGCAGGCTGACCCTCTATCCACTGAGCCACACCGGCCAGGGCCCAAATCTCTTTTTAAGTAGCATTTTCCTTCTAATTACAGAAACTGCCTGTGTTCAACACGGACGAGTTAGCCCAGGGCAGTCCTCTCCCTAGCATGCCCCACTCACCCACCCCAGACCCGTCATCTGATTCCGGCATCACCACTCCTAACACTCCCTGACCTGGCCAGGGGACGGTGAGGTCACACTGAGTGGCAGGGGCGAGGGAAGCCATTTCAAGCTTCCTCTCAACTAGGCCTGGACAAGTGTGTGTGTGTGTGGGGGGAGGGGGGGTGAATAGCAGTAATAAAATTTAAGGACATAAAGGCCAAAGGTTTGCCATTCTGGAGTGCTGTGGGTATTGTAATGGTGGGTTACCTGCAAGATCAAAACCACCAATTCAGGTGGGCTGATGCCTAAGGTACACAGGGGGCAGTGGTTTTCAGTCCGGATGTAGGGGAAGGGTGGAAAGCAAGATTGAAACAGTTGTTAGAGGGCCTGGAATTGATCCTCTATGGAACGGGGCGGGGGCGGGCGTGTGTATGTGTGTGCGTGCGTGCGTGTGTGTGTGTGTGTGTGTGTGTGTGTATGACTTTTGTGCACTGACGCATCCTATCAGCTGGGAATGTCAGGTAGATGAACCTGGGACTTGTGGGTAAAAGGGACTGGAGACAGGCCACGCATTTTCTCTGCATTAAACTTGCTTTTATATCATTCCTTCTGAATTTATTCAACTAACTTGTTGAAAAAATTCCAATGAATTGGAATTGCTCTGGCTGAAAATACTCAATTTATATATAGACTCAAAAGTTAGCTTTTCCCTCATTCTAGGTCCTTCTCTTTATTCTGCCTCTCCCTGTTTGAGACTTCGAACTGCACAACACTGTTCAAAGCTGTAGACTATTAGGTGCCATTGTCTTTATTCTGCTCACTGACACTGCAGAGAAGTTATTCTCCATCACTGCTCAGCAAAATCAAAATCATATATGCTCACTGCTTAATCATCACGTACTTTTTCATTTCATTTTTCCAGCTTCCTTGCATTATTATAGTGTCACTGGATTTTAAGAACTTGTTTATAACTAAAGATGTTAACCGTTTCTCATGCATTGCAAATGATATACCATGTTTTTTGTTACTGGAACATCCCCAGTAGGGTGTGTGCAGGAGGCAGCTGATTGATGTTTCAAACTCTCTATCCCTCTCCCCTCCCTTCCTCTGAAATCAATAAAAATATATATATTTTTAAAAAGACACATGGAATGTGTAATAGGATTTTTTTAATACTTGAAAGAAATGAACAGTGTTAACAGTCCTTTATCTGATGGCAAGATTATAGTGATTTTTTCCTTTATCCTTTCCTTTATCTTGTACGTTTTCTATAACGTGTAGTATTTTTATAATCACTATTATTAAAAAGTGAGGTGGCAGGAAATATCCATAGGGCTCAGGAACTGATTCAGTTAAGCGTGAGAGGGGAAGGAGGTTCACCTGAATAGCAACGCCCATTAGCAAGAATAAAGACCCAAGAAGCACCCTAGCCGGTGTGGCTCAGTGGATAGAGCGTCAGCCTGCGGACTCAAAGGTCCCAGGTTCGATTCCAGTCAAGGGCACATTCCCAGGTTGTGGGCTCAATCCCCAGGAGAGGGTGTGCAGGAGGCAGCCGATCCATCATTCTCTCTCATCATTGATGTTTCTATGTCTCTCTCCTTCTCCCTTCATCTATGAAATCAAAAAAATATATATATTTTTAAAAAGACACATGGAATGTGTAATAGGATTTTTTTAATACTTGAAAGAAATGAACAGTGTTAACAGTGCTTGTAACTGATGGCAAGATTATAGTGATTTTTTCCTTTATCCTTTCCTTTATCTTGTACATTTTCTATAACGTGCAGTGATTTTTATAATCACTATTATTAAAAAGTCAGGTGGCGGGAAATATCCACAGGGCTCAGGAACTCATTCAGTTAAGCGTGAGAGGGGAAGGAGGTTCGCCTGAATAGCAACGCCCATTAACAAGAATAAAGACCCAAGAAGCACCCTAGCCGGGGTGGCTCAGTGGATAGAGCGTCAGCCTGCGGACTAAAAGGTCCCAGGTTCGATTCCGGTCAAGAGCACATGCCCGGGTTGTGGGCTCGATCCCCAGGAGAGGGTGTGCAGGAGGCAGCCGATCCATGATGCTCTCTCATCATTGATGTTTCTATGTCTCTCTCCCTCTCCCTTCATCTATGAAATCAATAAAAATATATTTAAAAAAAGACACTAGAAGCTAGTTAGGATATTGGAGCACTGAAACCCACGTGGGCTGTGTTGAGTTGTCTTGTGGCCACTCGTCCCCACCTACACTGCATTTACAAGTTTCTCTCCTTGGTTTCATTTGCTCTCTTTTGATGTGGCTCTCACCTGAGCTGGTGGCTTTAACTAGCATCTCTTCAATTCCTGTGGCATTGAGAGTAACTTTCATGTGCAAATCAGGGCACGTAAAATAGAAATAAAATATGGCCTCAAATCCCCTGAGTTTCTCTCAAGTCCCCATCTGCCTCCCGGCTGCAGCTCTACATTTCCATCTGCTGACATCAGTGATGAGAGAGACGGCTGCCTCCTGCACGCCCCCCACTGGGGATACAGCTGGCAACCCAGTCATGTGCCCGGATTGGGTATCGACCTGTGACCTCCTGGTTCATAGGTCGACACTCAACCACTGAGCCACGCTGGCCAGGCTCTAATTCTTTTTTTTTTTTTTTTCATTTCCATTCAGTGTTCATACAACAAGTATTTATGAAGCCCATGCCACGTGCCTGACTCCAAGCAAGGCACTCACGGGGTAGAAGACAGTGTTAAAGCAGACACGTTCCCTGTCCTCAAGGACCTTCCAACCTAGTGGGGAACGTGGACAGTAAACAAATAGCTACGTATGTCACAGTGGTATTTACAATGATAGCAGCATTATTTTCCTGTTGACCCAAGTTTACCATCTCACACTTGGCTTTGCTTCTCCCTCAGCCTTTACCACCATCAATGAGCCTTTAAATCTTCTCTCACCGTGACTTAAAATTCCATCATTCCCCTCCACTCCCCAGGTCATCAATTCTGTTTTTTTG